GAGGTTACCCAGGGACGTTGTGGATGCTCCATCCCTGGAAGTGTTTAAGGCCGGTTTGGATGGGGCTTTGAGCGACCTGGTCTAGTGTAAGGTGTCCCTGCCTGTGACAGAGAGTTGGAACTGGATTATCTCCAAGGCCCCTTTCCAGCCCAAACCACTCTGTGATTCCGTGAAGCAGCTGGCCCTCGGGTTCTTGTCCAAGTGCCCAAGGTTAAATGGGATCATTCTGCCCAGCTCCCTGCTGAGGAATAGTGTCAGGTGCTACTCCTCTCCCTGCTTCCCCATCGGGGTGGGGGGCTGTCGCTGGGTTCTGTGTGAGCTCTAGGAAGGCTGAATTCCATAGGGAATACTTAGCAGGAGCAGGCTTCCAAAGCAGCGTTACATAATATCCCAGCACACCCTCACTCCAAGCCTTGAGCTCTGGAGTTCTCCTTCAAGGGAGATCCATCAGGTTTCATTAACATTCCAGTGCTGCTGTTCCCAGTCCGGGTGACATCAAGAGAGGTTTGTCTGTTTGGAGTTTTAAGTTTTAAGACATGACACAGTTCTTGAAGTTCACGTGGTGTTCTGTTCTTGGAGCCTCGCTCACCTGCTTGTATTTAGAAAGGGTAGGAGCTTGAGGGGTTTTTTTAAAGACAGCAATGAATAAAAAAGTAGTTTAAGTAGGCAGTAAAGTCACATGGTGCCTGTGGGCTGTGCAGCTATGAAATGGGGTTTTATTGTGGTGTGTGTGCTGCTTTGTGGAGGTGCTGAAGTTTGAAACAGGTTGAACATCTGAACCCATGCTCCAACACAAATACCTGCTCAGCTGCCTAAAGTTTTGCTTTACTGTTGAATTTGAGATATCTCCAAATATCTCTTGTTAGTCTCTGATTAGGGGGAGGGACTATCACTTCCCTTAGGACTTTACTGTTAAGGATCCTGCTGGACACCTGGTGTTAATCAATGATTAGGTGGGAACAATCCTGAAATAGCTGGCTGAGAGACCCAGGGGTGCCCACTGTGGTGGCTAAGGATTTGGTTTTTGAGTCTCTTTCTTTCCCTTTTCATTTATTGTGATCTAAAAGGTGGGGAAAGAGAGAACCTCAAAGTTGGAGAAAATAAATCTATTTTTTAAATTGAAATGTTTTCACTCGGTACATCTTAGTCTCCTGTGGAAGCAGCTGTATGGAAGTTACTGATTCACATGTGTGTTGGTGAGTTTTAAGGAGGAAAAAGGTTATTTATGGCAACTACAAGTTTTTATTTCTAGTAGAAAATATTTCAATAATTAGTGGTGCATGCTTTTGAGAAAGGAAAAAAAAGAGGAACTAACTGAAATCAGAAGTGGTTGGGATAGCAAGCAGGTAAAATCCTTTGCAAGTCTTTATTCCACTTGCAACATTCCCCTCTGGTTTGGAGTGACAGGCACTGACAATAGCAGGGTCAGCTTTAGTGCTGGCAGAGTGTGGAACATATTGCTGGATTGCTTAAATTAGACTTTATTTCATTGTCTGTGCAGTGTGTGATGTGTGAATGATCCTCAGTTCTCTGTGCTTCTTTCTGTGGTGCACTTCTAGTGCTTTCTGGTTTGTTTTTTTTTTTTTTTACCGAGGAAAAACCTTTTTCTTCATTGACTATTGAAACCCAGCGCTGGTGTTGTCGAATTAGGGAGAGTTTGACATTTCCAATCGTGTCTAATCAGGAGTTTGAGATCTAGTATTGATTTTTTTTTTTCTCACTGTTCTTGCGGCAGTTCTTGTGCTGATGGATTTTGGGTTCCTGGTGGTTTTTATCTGGTTCAGAGCTGGTGATCCCAGCCAAGAGTCCATTGATTCCTCCCATGCTGTGTGGTGGGTCTGTTGGCAGGACTGCAGTAAAATGCTCATTAAAACCTCGTTTGTTAGAAGAACCTCCTGTTTCTTTACAAGCCCGTTGTTTTCCAAGCAGTGCTTATTTTAATTAATGCAAATGTTGTTATAGGATCTCTATGAAAAAAACCCCAAACTTATTTTGGTCACCTGCTCTTGAAGCCTTTTGCCATGGTGAGGAGCAGGTACTGCTGCTGTTTAATGTCAGTTTTTCTGGAAAATTTACTCTGAAATTCCAATTTTTATTGTTCCCACGTGCACAACTAGAGAAATTTAAGTTTGAAATTACTTGTGTGTGGGACCTGTAGTGGAAATAGGATTTTTTCCCCTCCATCCCTTGTAGCTGAAGTGTGTGTACTTGGCTGACTTGTTGTAAATGTTTGGTTATTCAGAGCTGGCAAAATTGCAGGCCCTGGAAGTGCTGCTGCGGTTCATTGATAAAAACGTTCTGGATGAAGTGTCTGTGCAAGACATTGCAACACTTTGTGCCTCCTGTAACTATCAGAGCACGCAGGTCCTCACTGGAGGGCTGCAAATTTGCTGCCGGGATGAAGCTGTGTAACAAAGTTTCCTTATTTCCTTATCTCCAGTCTGTAGGAGCAAGATAATAATTCATTAACGCCGGGAGTTTTCTTTTTGTCTTTAATGTGCCCGTTTGGAATGCAGGCAGCTAATTTCTGCTCTGCTTGTTTTGTGTTTGTAAACATAACTTGTTCCAAGCTCGATTTATCTTAATTTAACATCCTCTTCTTTTTGAAGTAAATTAAAACAATCAGACAAAAAAAAAAAACAAACAACAAAACCCTACCAAAACCACAATCAATGAACTTGATCTCTGAGTACAAAAGAAACTATTTACACTCTTGTTACATCTGCAGTACTTTAGGTACTTGTTTCTACACCAGGTGCTAAATGTTTTGCTTCCCTTTTGTTTTAGCACCTGAAAAAGAATGCCTTAATTTTCTATTTTAATTCTAGCCAGGTGAAAAATCAGTGTAATAGTCACGTTTCTAAGGCTAGCTTATTATAGTATAGGTCCATACTTTATTTTCCCTTTGTCCTATATCATTAAATATAGCTTTAAATTGCCCTGCTGCCTCCGAGGCCAGATAATCACAAGGGTTCAGTCCTCCCACCAGCACTTTTGGCTGCAGTTCCAAGGCAGGGGGCTAAAAATGTAGCTGAATGTTTTGGTGTTTAGATGGTTTAATGCTTGAAACACTTTGTGTAAATAAACTCCTGAAGGATTTAATAAATTGTTTAATGATTGCTGTAGCTTAGATTGAAAGTTCAATAAGATTGGGAATTTTCTGTCACTTAGGAGTTTAGTCTCTTGTTAGTATCCAAGCTTTTCTTTGTCCTCTTCTTAAAAAAAACTCCAAGCACTAAACAACCCAATAAAACTCAAAAAGCAGGGGGAATGAAAGTCAAGTTATCAAAACTGATAAAATATGAAGCAGAAATATCCTTGTAGCAGATGCTTAATATTGCAGAAGGGGACACAAAACCATGGAGAGTGATGGAACTTAATCTGCTGAAGCTCTAGAATATTTTACATAGTTTTTTAGTGATTGATTTGCTTTATACTTTAATTTCTCCTTCTTAAAAAAAAAAAAAAAGCTTGTGAATGGAAAGTTGTTGAGGGTCCCTTTTTTTAAGTGCTGACAATAGTCAAAAAAAAAAAAATCTTAATTTTCTGTTTTAATTCTAGCCAGGTGAAAATAGTGAGAACAGTGTAAGTAACAACAAACCTCCTTTGTTTGCTCTGTGAGGGAGCTCGGACTTGGGCAATTTGTGGAAAAAAAAAACAAAAAACAACTAGTTTAACTTTGGCAGAGCAGCTGTTTTTGGGTTGGGAGGTCTCCCCTACCTGGTTTGGAGGGGTTTGGCACGTTGCAGGAACCTTCTTGTCGTCTTCCAGAGCATGTGCTGCTGTGATACAGATCTCAGTAAATGACAGGGAGCAACTTGTGTATCTTTGGCTTCCACCTGCTCACTTGAAAAGTCGACTAAAACCATGTAGTTGATCTTCTGAAGCTTCTCTTTGGTTGAAATTACAAAGCTGCCTCTCCTCCCTCAAGACTTATCTGTATTTAGAGATTTTTTTTTTTTGTATGCTTGTGAAATCTGTAGCAAATAAGGCAAAACTACTTAAAAGAATAAAAGTAATAATGGAATTCTGCTACTGTTTTAACAGACTGTTAGATGCTGTCTGAACATTTTTACTTTATTTTTAAGAGTTCTCCCAAGGTGAACTCCATCAAACAGTTTGGTTTAAGAAATGGTACTCTTGATGTTACATCTCCTCACTGAGATTATCAATAATGGGAGGGGGAAAAAGCAGGCAGGAGGAGTCTGTTACATTGATTTGAAAATGGGGGAATTGGTGAACAGAACAAGAACAGACATAAATGGCTCAGAACTGGGAACTGTATCAGGACATCTCAGTAAAATCACTGTGATTACTGATCTCTGAATGGCACTTTGCTCAAACTGGTTTTAACTTATGGTGGGGATTTTTTTTTTTGTTTGTATTGCCTCAGTGAAGTTGCTGGTATGTGAAAGCCAAAGCTTTTATGCTTTGAATCAGAGATAAATAGAAGTCAAAAGCAAAGTGTGTCTAAGAGCCTCAAATTTGGCTTTTGTGTGTTGCTTTTCTCTGTGCCCTCTGCAAAAAGCTTCAGGTGCTGTAATGGGTTGGAGTAGGAATCAGAAAACTTCTGGCTACCTGGAAATAGTGATTTTAACCCCCTGAGGCCAGTTGTTGTTGCAGTGATAGATGTCAGCTGCCTCTTTTTATGGAGGGCTGACAGCCTAGGGGAATATTTCAGCTGTAAAACTTTGTGCCAGGTAGGAGCTGTGTGTTGGGAAATATGTGAAACCTGCCTGCAGTGAATAGTTTGGACACATGTGATTTGTAGCTATGTGGTGTTTTCCATCTGATTGTTAGATGGTGAAGCACAGCAAATTGCTTTTTAAGGTGTAACAGGCTACTGAAAACTTTCCTTAACTGAGCACCCAAGTCTTGATTTAAATTCTGGTGGACTTAGATTTTTTTTTTTTAAATTGGCCTGCTTTCTTGTAAGGCACAGGGAGCACTGCAAACAAGGTAGCAGTTGGAACTGCCCCTTGTGCAAAGGAAGGAGCAGGAGGGGGAACAGCCCTAAATTTGGTGGTGTTGTTTCCTGCTCCTACAGGTTTTTTTATTTATTTTTTTTTTCTGGGGAATATAAGAACGGCAGTTGTACTGTGACTTCTGTGGAAATATCAATCAACCACAGTCCTGAAGGATTCATTAGAAGCCCACGGTGAAGTCAAGTAGTTCCTTAAAGCCTCAGTTCTTCAGGGTGCAGAAAGAAAGCTTTTGGAAGTTTTGATGAAGATGATCTAAGCATCAAGTATTTTGCTCTCCAGTACCTTCCTGAAAGAGAAAGTGTAAGGGAAGATATTTTAAGACTGAGACACGATAAAGCTTTGTTAATATAATTTTTTTTGTTATTTCCAGGAAGCACTCCTTAATTCCTTGGTGCTTCAGGTGCTGCATGACAAATGCAGGAATTATAGCTTCAGAAAAGAGAGGATGCTGAAGTAAACAGCAGTGCTAACTTGCAGAAATCTGATTTCTCATGCGAGTTCTGTCTTGTAGTCGTGTGGACAGAGTGTGTTTCCTGGCTGGCAAGAGCTGGATGTGTAATTTCAGGAATGTAAAGCAAATATTTTCATCCTGGTGGTGCTGGAGTGGCTGGATCCTGTAGCATGGGATGGAACTATTGCCATCCCATGTCCAGTATCGGTAATAAAAACCAGGTAGTCAACAATTAGTGCTCTTGGGCAAGTTCATTGTTGTGTTGTGTCACTGCCAAACCGTGACATGGGCGGATTTCAATGCTGCTTTGAACTAAAGAAAATATTTATAATGATAAGAACGTTAGCCATGTGTGTTGAATATTCCACCTAATTTCATTCAGAACTGCTCGTGAATGTCAAATGTAAATATAAACTTCGACAGGGCCCCTATTTCTATTTCAAGATCAGACTAAACAGGTGTATCAATTGTGAAAATCTCATGGCATGAATTTGACACATTTGGAAAACAGTCCAACTTCTGTCTTTCGTGTTAGAGCAACACCAGCAGCGTTATCTGATGGATGTATGTGGTTCTTACTTATCAGTCAAGCTGCTCTAATGAAATAGTGCTGTTTGGGAAGTACAGTACCTGTCAGACTATTATTGAAAGCCCTCTGTGGGCCAGCAGCACAATGGAAACAGTGCTGCATGTGAGGCTTGTTTCCAGCAGCTTTTTGAAATGTATCGAGGAGCTGTCTTCTGGCAGGATAAGATTGATGTCCTTTTTTTCAGATGCTTTCATGCAGGATGATGGTGACTCAAAAAAAAACCAACCAACAAGACAGTGGCTTTCACAGTTAAAAATTCCTAGTACAGTTAAATACAACAAGTATTTTTAAATGGTGTCATTTTAACTCCCAAGCGACGAGAGTTCCTATTTCTAAATACTCAAGTTTCAAAGCTCCCACGAAGCGCTCAGAGTAAATTTGACTCGACCTCCTCTGTGAGAAACGACCAGAAATTCATCTTTTGAAACGTTCTTTCTCTGAAATTATCCAGGGAGAAAACAAGACCCGAGCAAGACAATAAGTCTGAGCAGTGGGAGTTTGGTGTGCACTCTGTTTAAATCTCTAATGGGTGCTATCAGAAAGGATGTGTTCTGCTGTATGGAGTAGTGGGCTGAGGAAAATGTAATTTCTAGAAGTTCTGAGGTGTGGGAAATCAATACAAAACGTTGTGATGATGGATGAAGGATCCGCTGCAGAGCACAGCCCGGCATCAATAATTCAGAGCTCTGCCATGGAAATGGATTTATTTCCTATGTAAATAGAATCCATCACAAGTGCTGAGGAGTTTGGATATGAATTTCTCCAACCTTTGGAGATTTGCTTTTGTTTTAATAACAGGAGGAGGAATGTAGGGATTGATAAAAAACTACCTGATTGTCTTGTTCAGCAGACTTGATCAAGAAAAACTGGGTTTTTTTCCTTTGTGATTGATATGTTTGTGTCTTCTCTGTAGGATGAGTCAATTTGAGTGTCTTTAAGTGTAAGAATATTAAAGTATTTAACCTGTTTCTCCCCTTCAGTTATGCTCCCTGGTGTCCAGCTTGTCAGCAGATTGAATCCACTTGGGAGAGCTTTGCCAAGGAGAGTGAACGTCTCGGCATCACTGTTGGGAAGGTGGATGTCACTCAGGAACCAGGTATAGCATGAAACAGACTGTTTTAATAACGAGAATTATTCAATATAAGCACCACTTAGTACTTATTTAGCTGTTAAAACCGAAATAACCTCATGCACCTTTTTATTTCTCCGTGTAGTTCCTATCTGGGAAGTTTATAAACTCCATTTGAAGGATTAAAGAATTGGGGGAGTGATCTGGCTTAATACTTAATAGAAGAGGCTTATTCTCTATTTTAATCCACTTCCCTGAAAGCTGTTGCCTGTCTCATTCCTGCCTCCTCCAAAGTGTCTGCAGAAGATTCCACCTCTGTAACTGGAGAGTCCCAGGATGTGGTAGCACTGCCTTAATTAAAGTCCTTAACTGTTTCTGTGATGGTGCTGCTTTATTGTCTTATTTAATTGTGGTAGTGCTTTAAATTGCAGTTATTTGTTATTTCTGTTGTTGTTTTCTGCTGGTGATGCACATATGCAAATGTGTTTATGGAAGGGGTTTTCTGGCTGTCCACAGAAGCAGGACTGCAATCTAATTTACTCTTTTAGTGACTCCCTTCAGAGGTTTGGATGAGTGTTTGTACAAGCAGTGCTAATATTGTTTAAACCTCTGCATCCCTTGGGAATGCTTCACGCTTGTCTTGGCTTTGAGGGGATAAAGGATTTTGTCAGCAGTATCAGAGAGATGTTACTAGAATAAAAAGGCTGAGCTTTACTGAATTTTTTTTTCTTTTTTTTTTTTGTAAAATGTGTTCATTTTATTAGTTGAAAACATGCTGAACAAGTTGCTTTATCAAATAACAGCAGGGAAATTACTGAAACTCTGGTCTTAAAATCAGCTTTTATGGGTTCATGTTTTGTTAAAAGTTCACAAATATGCAGAAACTCTTAGGCCAAAAAGCTGCATATGGTAATCATTAATAGCTTAATAAACAGATTAATCTAAATATTACATTTTTGTAAATAGATGTAAATTTAAAGCCAACTTCTCACTTTAACAAAGCAATGGTTACCCTGGAGTAAGCCTGCAAATGGGCATTCATTATAATCCTATCCAGTTATGTTCTCCCAATTAGACAGGGATTCTTTGGCTTATGTAATGTTCCAATGAAAAGATTTCCATCTTGACTGTGGCACTGGGATATGGCTGTAATTTCAAAATGCACTTTCGGATAGGAGGCTGTAAAAATAAAATACTTGGGACTTCAAAGGTAAAAAAATTGAATGGCAGGGATCAGATACTTCATACTCAGACTGGAAAACAAACATTTATTCCCTTACCTGACCCCTGGTGCTGATGTAATTCTGAAGGTACCTGAGTTCCTTTGGAAGCTTTCCAAAGTTCCTGAGGTGTTCTTACCACGGGCTGTGCTCCATCCTTTCAGTTGGTGTGTTGAAGTGCTCGGTCTCCTGTTCCTGCCTGCACAATGGTACCTTAATTAGTGTTGATTATGCAACCCCTCCATCACACTGAAAGTAGCCAAAACGTGTTAAGCTGGGGGGAACCCACGAGATGAGTGCAGAGCTGCAGAAAATTGCCCTGCCAAAACCTGCAGGAGAAAAGTGGCCGTTCATGGGGCTTAATTGCAGCAGATGCCTGAAGAATAAACCCTCCAGAGCCTTAATGGCCTTCCAGCACATTTCAGTCACTGCGTGTTCCGGCCTCAAAGTGCCTCCTCTTGCCTCATCTCCTCTATTGAAACACTCAGGATGTAAAAGGCAAGTCCTGGAGATGCTTCTGGATCCCCAGGTTCTGTGTGTTTGTGGGGCCTTTTTTAAGCTCCCAGCTGCAACGTTCACCTGTGAATTAAAACGAGACTTCTCGAGTCTTCTGGACCTTCTTGGAGTAGCTGTTGGATGAAAGCAGCTGTGTTTTTAGATCTCTGTGTATTTTAGGGGGTGTTTGAGTGCAAATACTGAAGGTTTCTTTGTTCTTGATTAGCTGTTGATTTCATAATGGATGTCAGGTTTTGATTTGCTTAACTGTATTTCAAGTTAAACTAGTAGCCACTTTAACTTCGTGTTAAACACACACCAAAACTTACTGTGCTTAAATTTTGTAGCTGACTCACATCTGCTTTTGCTGGAGGTGCCTTAGATAACCAGCAAACCTCCAGCTAAAGTTTTGGGGATGCTTCAATGCATTTTGGCAACGGATTTTAAACTTTTAGATTTTATTATTCCCCTGAGACCATCTTTGCTCTAAGACTGGCTACTGCTAAGAGGTTTAAGGCAGCTGTTTTGTTTCCTCTTTGCCTGCCCAGTGTTTGTAAGAACTTCAGGGAGTCTCTTCAGTGTGCCCATGACTTTCTCTGTTCTTAAGCTCATTATGTTCTTTATGGCTCTCCACCTAGTTTTCCTTGTGCAGCTGTGCTTTGTGCTTTATTAATTCCGGTGTTACACTTGGGGCTTTGTTTACTTTGCATCTCCTGTGCTGGCACAGCTTTTAACTGGTTTGTAAAGTTTGCCACCACCTTGCATCTCACAGCAGTAAAGGCAGAGAGCTGAAAAGTTGAAGCAAAGAAAGTTTCCTTTCTGGAGCTTTAAAGATGCTTTAAACATCTGTGAAAAGCCCCCAAACAACAAAAGGAGCCACAACACTTTTTTGCCTATTCCATGGAGGAATTCAAACTAGAAAAAACATTACCACTGAAACTCCTTTTAAATATACCTGTCTTGTTGCAGTATGGCTCATCTTTGTCTTTAAAGGCAGAAACTCTCTTGCTCCAATACTTTCCCGTGGCTAATCCTGGTGCCTAAAGCTGTTTGCATTATTGAAAGCTGAATAGGGACTTAGTTTCCCCAAAGATTTTCACAGAATTTTACAAAAGGCCAAGTTAAATAACTGTACTCTTTACATTGGTGCTTTAGATGAATGGCAGTCGCTGGCTTGAGGAATTCAGCCTTTCCTAATGGAGTTGGACTGCACATCTAGGGGTTCATCACCTCTGGAGGTTCTTTTTTTGGTTTATTTGGGGTTTTTTTTGTCCTTTCTGCTGTCTCATGGCTGATGCTCCAAAAGGGATTGTCATGGCTTAAACTGGCAATATTTTACCAAACAGAATGCTGAGATGTCCCAGGCTATTTTCTCCATCTTTGTAGTTACCTGGAGAGGAATGATGTGTGGGAAGGAAGAATAAGAACCTGGAAACATCCTGGAACACGATGTGCATTTGTGTGGCTCTTCCTCTGGGTTGGAGCTGGTCTGGTCACAAACTTCAGCTCTTTGCAAATATTGATCAGGGAAACCCATTAATTAGAAAAATTTGCTTGCAGTAAACGTTCTCCAAGGTCAGCATTTTTCTGTAGCTTGTCAGTATTTAGTATCTGTTACTGTTTGTAGCATTTCTGAAGACAAACTGTTAAACCTGTATTTACAAAACAGTGGTAACAGCCCTGCATCTGCTGCTTTCTAGTTCAAATCTGTAGGTATTTATAGATAAGTCAGAATGCTGAGAAATTTCAGTTTTACTGAATTGCTTGTGGCTTTTTATTTTTCCCCCTTTCTAGGCTTGAGTGGTCGTTTCTTCGTCACGACACTTCCTACAATTTACCAGTAAGTGTTTCCTGCTGGAAACTGCAGCTGTTGTGTCCTGCTTGTCACTTGTTTTGGGCTGTAACTCTGAGATGTAGGGGGGAATGAAGGAGTACTGACTTCTGGTTTTAGGTTACTACTGGAGCTTTGCTTGTATGGTAAAATCCTCATCTTACTTTAAGGGACTTCACTAAGTTTCCCTGTTACCAGTACTTTAAAAAATGGATCAGAGAAGGCAGTTCCTGTAGCTCTACTCCAGTAAAGTGTTGTCATCCCTAAAATACTGAACCCTTTATTAAGTCAGGGTGTCATGAGTCATGCAGATATATATACACATCTATATGCACACTTCTAATTCTGAGTTGTATTTAAAAAAGGGTTTGGTTGTTAACCTCATGTGCTTTGTATTTGCTGGAGTGCAAGTGAATATTTAACAAGTTTTGGTAAAGACTGAGACCTTCCATCATGGAATGCAGTTCCAAACCACTCAGATTTCTGAGCAAGTGAAATCTACAATGTGTGTGGGGTTTTGCTTGGGGTTTTTTTGCTGTGGATACCGTTTTAGGGGACGTGTGTGTCAATGGGAATTCCTGTTTTCCAGTGCCAACGACGGAGTGTTCCGCAGGTACCGAGGCTCCCGGACACTGGAAGATCTTCAAGGCTACATTTTAGAGAGGAAATGGGAAGCTGTGGAACCTGTGGCAGGATGGAAATCTCCATCTTCCATAATGTAACACGTTGTTTTTATTAACAACAGCCATGTTTTATAGCTCATTATTCACTAAGGGCCCTATGTTGACAGCTTACAGACAAAAGGCCTTTATTCCCTAGGCGTGTAGCTCTGCAGAAGCAATCTGGATTGACAGCCTGCTTTCCAGTTTCTCACCTTTAAAAGCAGTTTATTTGCTGCATTCCCTTTTGTTCCTGCCTGCTAAGGCTTGTTTGTCATCTTTGAAAAGAGATTAAAAATAATACAGCCACTGAGCATTATGTAAGTGCCACTTCCAATATCTGCTGAGTGCTGGAATCAAGAGCGTGTTTATGTAGATTATTCCTTCATGACTCCTGGCTACTGGGCCAGGCAGCCTTTAGCTTTAAGGATTTTTTATTTGTGTCTTTACAAGAGAGCCTTTTGTCCTCCTGTGGAATGGGAAGCAGTGTAGTGCTTACACAGTGTATCAAAATTTGTTTTCGGGGTGGATTTGCTTTGAAATACCAAATAGAGTGTTTCCATGACACAAAGGATGAACCTGAGATGTGAGTGGCCTGCATTTCATCCTGGCTGAATCTATTATGTGTAAATTCACCTCAGAGATCCACAGAGGGTCCTTATTTTTTTCATCTGAGAAGGAAGAAGAGCTGTGGGATATTTAGTAATGGGGAGAGGAGCTACGGGGCTGCTGGGAGTTGGGGAAAAGGGGGTTAAAGCTGTACAGGGTTGTGCTGTGAATCTGCTCTTCCTTAGTATAATCAACAGTCCTCTTTCAAGGGGCTGGTTTAGGATTTCAGGGTCTCAAATGGGTTTGCAGTGGCCTCCTCCTGATAATTGCTGGGACCTGAAGGGCATGGGAAGTCTATGGAATCTTATCCTGGTTTCTGTGCAGTTTGCTGTGTATCCCAGCTCCCCCATCTCAGAAGCTGTTCCTTCCATTTCCTTCTTTTCTAGGATGCACGGAATGGCAGGGCTGTTCCACTTCTCGGGGTGGATCAGGGTAAGTGACTGTGTGGTGGGGTTTCCTACACCCCCTTTTTATCATTAGAATAATCCCAGTGGTCAAAACCTAACTGAAATTTTTATTATCCTTTTATCAGACTGAATTTGCCTTACATGCAGTGCGTGTACATATAAATATATATAGGGTTTGTAGTATCTTTGCACTATAAAATTTAAAGTGCTAATAATCTGTGCAAAAAATGGCAGTTTGACTGCAAAGATTATAATCAATAATAAAAACACTTCCTTTTCTTATTATCTTGGTGTAGTTACAAAGCTCTATCAAAGCTCTAAGGGGATAAAGTAGTTTTGTTTTTTTTTTTTTGAGAGCTGCTGCAAAAATGGTTGTAAATACCAGGAATGCATTTAGGATTTACCAGATTATGTCACTTAATACTATTCCTCAAGATTACCTCCAGGTTCATTTTCAGAGTTTAAATCGTGTTCTTCTGCAGTTTGCTTGCACCGTGTTTGTACAGGAGAAGGGAGGGTAAAGGGTTTATTTTTTTTTGGGATTTCAAACTGCCAACAGCATTTGCATAGGGACACAAATTTGGATGATTGATTATCAAAAGTAAGGGAGAAATGCTTAGTGTACACTGTAAAACATTTAACATGTAAGATATTTTACTTAAATATTTCGAGATGCTTTCATTTGGGAGCTATCAAAGCTTTTCCTGTGCATGCAAATAATGAGAATTTTCAGACCTTTCCCGTTCTGTGCAGGGAACATCCACTTAAAAATCTTCAAGTGTAGCCGAGATTGAGACTGTATTTGACTGTAGCAAAATATCTTAATATTGTAACATGCTGCAAAAAATAAATACAGTAGAGAGTTTGAATATAGTTTGTATCACTTCCAGTCAGCATCAAACTAACCCGGAATCCAACAGAACTTGGAGTTGTTGGTTTCCTGTGCAAACTCTCTTTGATTCTCTCTGGATATTATTAACTTTTTATAGCCTTGTGGTGTTTCTCTTCCGTGGTTGTTGTGTAATGATGTTGTATCTCCATAGTTTCCTTCCTGAAAGATTAACTGGGAAGGAACCTTCTCTAATTAGCTTTCCCCTTGGATGAATATTTCAGCTGTACATTTCCTCACTCTTCTTGCTGTGCTTTAATAAATACTGGAAGCTGTTCTAACACTTAAAAGTACTCTGGAATTTCAGTATCTGGGCTCTTGTGAGTGTTGATTGTGGTTTGTTTGGAAAGATCTAATGTTATAATTGACTTCCTCCCAGACCCCCTGAGTCATTGGGCTGCTTCATTCACTGAATTGAATTTGTAGGTTTGCAGTTGCAAAGCAATATTAATACTGTATTTGGATTATTATCTCCGAGTTTATAAGTGAAATCACTTATTCAGTGTCTGCTTAGAATGGGTGGGTCCTTTTAGGAGCTAAACAGCTTAAGTGAAATAAATGGCTTAATTTCAGTTAATGGAGAGTTGCCATATAAGGGTGAAGGATGTTGGGACACTTCCCTGTGTGCTCTGAGGCTCCCTCAGAAATTCATCCCCAGTAAGATTATTATGGCATCTCTAATGATGAGTGTCTCAGGAAGAAGGAATTGTGCATCCTCTGCCTAAAAAGCCTTTTAATGTGAACAGCTCAGTAAAGAAAAACACGATCTAACGGTGTCAGAAAGGAAAGACTTTTGTATAAATACTATTAAATGAAAGGGCTTAATCAGAGAGCAATTTATGCAATGGTGTGGGCAGTAGAAATCATAACTGCTTTTAGCTATAAAGTTATTAATTATCTCTTTCTCGTTTCCAGCAAATCCATAACTACCTCACCGGCACTCTTGGAATTCATGTTTGGGTTTCTTATGCAATCTTCATCTTGGCCACTTTACTGATTGGCCTCTTCCTGGGTTTGGTAAGAAAGCAGATGACTTTTTTTTCTCATTTACCTACAACTTTTGCTTTGTATTAACTCGTGGAAAAAAATAAACCCAACTTCCCTCATACTAAAAAACTTTGCTTTAATAATATACTATTAAATACTAATATCCATTCCCTGGTGTCCAGTGGTAGAATGTGTGAGAGGGGTTCAAAGCTGTGCTGGGGAGGTTTAAACTGGCCATTAGGAAGCGTTTCTTCACCCAGGGGTTGGTCAGACAGTGGAAGAGGCTTCCTAGAGAGGTGGGTGATGCCCCAGGCCTGTCAGTGTTCCATTCTTGTGGACAATGCCCATGATAATGTGCTTTAACATGGTCACCTTGGACTAGAGGGCTGTGTAGGTCCCTCCCAGCTGGAGTAGTCTGATCTATTCTGTTAAAATTCTGAGCTATTCCATACTGCACATTCACTCCCCTGCTTGTGGTAAAGGTTGGGTCTTGATTGCAGCTTGGTTTTAACAAAATCTCACTTCTCTCTCCCCTGTGATCTTTTGGGTTGAGTCCTCATTAGTGACAGTCAAATCTGACCTCACTTGTTATTCATGCATTCAAATATCCCTCTCCAAAACATCAGGAAGATGATCCAAGCAAGCCTGTTGACTCTCTGTGGGAATGTGAAGGACCAGAACATGAGTCCTGGGTTGTTTCATCAGTGAAAACAATTCCAAGCTGCTTTACCTGTGGAGCTGGGATTGTTTCCTCACAGAATATTTGGATGATGTGGCTCTGTGACCTCTCAAATATCAACAGCAAATAAGAAACTGAGCTAAAAAAAGGAGATATAGATGGGAATACAAGTTCTTTCAGAACAGTTGTTTGGTCCACAAGTGTTTTGCAACTGCCAAGGCTTTTTAAACAGTTCTGCTGATCACTGGTTTGACCTGCTGCTAAGTCACTATTCCTTGTAGGAAGTGTAAAGGTTGTTTTTGGAACTTGGATCTCTGCCCTTCAGCCCAAATATTAGTGAAATAAAGAAAAAATTTGAGTCTCGTTCTCAGTAGTATTGGGAAGTGATTTCAAAGCGGTTGAAATTTGAAGTTAGGCAAACCCATACATAATATATGGACAGAATTGTTGTGTACAAGCAAATGTCTTTCATTATGTGTTTTCAACAACTGCATTTTTCTAGATGGTGGATTTTCACCAAAGGAGTGCAAATCAAGTCAGTGTAACTGGTTGCAAATGAATATGATGATTTAAAAGAAACTTTCCTTCTTCTTTCTTCACTTAAAAAAAAAAACCAACCAAACTGCAAAAGCTGAAAAAATGTACAGTTAATCTCTCAGCTCTTTCCAAAAAGCTTGTCAGTGATTGAAATGTATTTCTTGAACATGGTGTCAGCTCTCTCTTTTTCCTTACACTATTCTTAGCATGTGACAAGGAGACACAAATGTCTTCCTTGTGTTTAGGTTAAACTGCACTGGGCTCTTTGAATAACAAGCACAAAAGGTGGAAGCACACATTTTATGTTGGGGAGGCAGGGGTAGGAATGGAATAACTTTCCAAAATACAGGAAAACTTGACTGAGATTGTTTCAAAGTTTTCAAGGAATAAAATTCCTCAACTGTGTTCTGAACTTGTCTGCTTAAGATGCAAGCAGCTTCAATACTGAATAAATTTAGGAAAGTAGGAGGCAGAAAATGGGGAGTAGAAAGCAGAGAATGCTGGTTAGTACACACTGGGAAAGCACTTCTTCCCATGTTTTTATTTAGCTCTTGTCTCTAAGCAAGATAATATAATTTAGAAAGCCTTATTATGTGTATCTGTCTAAAAAGAATGAGTGCAGGGACTTTTGGAACCGCTAATAAATGCCTCTGTAATTACTGCTAATAAATGCCTTTTTGTCCTTTCCACAGATCCTGGTTTTGATTTCAGACTGCCTCTGCCCAGCCAGCTCAAAATACAAAGCTGAAACACCTGGTAAGTGGGTGAGAGATGGTAGATTCGAGTGTAAACTTGCAGGAGGGAGGGCAATACATGTGAACCAATAATCCAGGAGTCAGGGAAAATTGGGTTGTCTTGGGTTTGCAGAATAAAGTGGAAGTTGTCTGTGCCCAATAGGCTAGAAACCCAAATGAAAGTGGAGGAGAAATACTACTGAAGATTTGTTTGAATGAATTGAAAAATAAAAGTTTTCAATAGAATCACAGAATTTTTTTTTGTTGGAAGGGACCTTAAAGATCGTCCGGTTCCAGTCCCAGCTGGGATAATAACCCCAGTCAGTGACATCCCTCAGTATTTCAGAACACAGAGGTGGTGAAGCACCTTTACAGGCCACTGTCCCGGGGTCCAGTCTCACTGCAGCCTCTGAAACTCTTGTGTTTAGAGGAAACCGTCACGAAGGACAACGTGGAGAACGCGGCGCTGGAGGAGCCGGAGGAGCCTACGGAGCCTTCCGCGGACGAAGCGGAAGAGGCTGCGGATGGGAAGGACCTCTCAGAGGGAGAAGATGCAGCAAACTCGAGTGCTGAGGACTCCGAGGAGGATTTGGCGCTTGGGAAAGAATCAGGGGAAGAAGAAACAGAAGACTTAAGTGAACAACCTCTGACTGAGTCAGAGACCGAGAGCTCAGTGAGGCAGCGCAAAAGTCAGGGGGCCGAGAAGGAACTCTAGTCCTCCGTGGGGGATTTTGTGCACCTGGACCAAAGAAGTGTCAGACCAGGGTCTGAAGCTGGAGCTTAAACTTGATTTGTCATTTGTGTTTACCAAAACCTCTGCTCTGTCAGCAGGCTTGTCTTTTTTTTTTTTTTTTTTTTTTTTTTTTTTAAACTAGGACTCGCTTCCTTTGTTCGCTAAGCACAGATGCTGTGTAACAATTAGCCATGACAATCAGAACCAGGGGGTCTTATCTGGTCCTTGTCCTCTAAAGAGAAAAGGGGGTGTGAGCCTCAGTTCACCAGCTGGGGAATGTCTCTGTGTGTGTGTGTGTGTGTGTGTGTCCCTCCCTGAGCAAGATCAGGGCTTTTAACTCCACAGTAGCTTGGCAGGACTGTGACTTCTCTGAATGTTTATTGTTCCCAAACGCCCCAGGAGCACAGATAAGGGATACACTCCCAAAAGAAGGCACCTTACCGGTCTTCTCTCAAAAATGTTGTGTACAATGGGTTTGGTTTTATCACCGTCAACTGAAGCACCTTTCTCACTCATCTTTGTTCATGTTGTTGTCCCACAGCACGTCCCCAGATGTGTCAGTTTTTGGTGATCCAGAGGCACAGCTCGAGTTCTTTGACCCGAAAAGTTGGAGTCATTGAAAACCTCAGGCAGAAAGAGAGTGGCAGCTAAATGTTGAAAACGTCTTGGAACTTTTTAAAAGGTTTAAAGGAAATTATTTTGTTCAGGGGGAATTTTTGCCAAAGCATCAAAGCATGACTCTCTCTTTTTTTTTTTTTTTTTTTTTCCTTTTTCCTTGCAATTTGTTCCCATCAGGAGATTGTAGCAAGAAATACTCACTTTGCAGTCAGTGAGTTGTATACTTCTTGCCAATCCAAGCTTGTCATATGCAGTGCAGTCCTGCCATTTCCAACTGGGAGTACTTTTGGCAGAACTGAAGAGGCACGTAGGGGTTTAACCTTTGATCACTTTTTCTACTTTTTGTCACAGGGAAAAGAGGGGGGCACAGCTGGGTGGTGAGGAGAAGCTGTTAGTTTTGCTACTTATATCAGAATAAAAATGTGTGTGCTGAAACATGTACAGTGAAAATGGCTTGTCAGGTGGGCAGCATTAGGTTGGTTAGAAGACTTGGGTCACTAGAGAAATCACTGTATCACTCCTTTGACTGTTAATACATGAGTTTTTTTGGGAAGGAACATCTACAGTGAGGTCCTGTATGTTTGTTTTGTTGGTGTTTGACCATGTGTGTAAGATGTGTCTTAATCTTGATACTATTTTTAAAATATATATATATATTGCATAAGCCTTGCTCACATGCATGCATTTCACCTTGTTCTTCAAGAATGGAGAGTGATCAGAGGTGAGATCATCTCTCATTAGAAGAGACAAGCTTGCAAGTGCAAAATGCTGGTTTCCTTTGAGACTGAGATTAATAAGGGCAATTTGTGTTGAAAGTAATGTTTTGTTGTTGTGTTTGTTTTGTTTTTTTTTTTTTTAAATGCTCATAAAGAACGTATTTACTAAGAAAGCTTAGCTTTTCCTGTCTATGTCCTGTCTCATGTGATGGTTTATAACATCCATTGCACTATAATGACAAGAGTCTGTGTGGGGTGTGCCCCGTGGAATGAGCCGTTGTGGAAACTCACACAGCAGCTGTTGAAAAGCTAAACTTTTATAGCCAAAAATCAAAAAAACCTCCTCTGTGGCCACTGTAGCTTGAAAACCGTGCACTTCAAAGTTGAGAGAACAGAATTGTTTCCCTTATGTTTCTTTTTTCTGTTATCTGTGCATCAGGAGCTCTGGGAAGTCTGAAAGAAACCCAGGAGTGTGACCATGTTTCATGACACGAGCAGGAGCTGGGGTGTGTGTTTTCAGGTACAGGAACTTGCATAAGCTCATGTCAGAATAGACATATTCCCTAAATTGTGGGTCCAAACCTACTGGGCACTGAAAAATCTCTGGGACTGGATCCAGTGCAGGTTGAGGGCGGTGGTGCCTTTGCCTGTCCCCAGAGAGGATGTTCTGTACCCCCGAGGGTCTTGTGGTTCTCAGGGCAGTCTTGTGGTTCTCAGGGCACAGGAGGGAGCGTGTCCATGTGGAATTCTGATTGGATTTTGCTTCACTTTTGTATTCTCATGGTGCCAGTCACCTGATGTTCTCTCCAGCTGTTTGAAGAGGTTTTGACTTTAAAAGGTACAGCACATCCCTACACCTCACGTGGCTTTCTTGAACGCTGTTGGGAATTGAAGGATGAAAAAGTCAGGGGTAGCTCTTCTCAGTGTTCAGCTCGAGGTGTTTGGATGTTTAGACAACAAGGAGTTCTCACAGGAGCTGGGTTTCACTACCTGTCTTTGGATTGCAAAGGCAAACAAACCCACAAGTGGCACTTTGTCCTACAAGGCACAGGGGTTGTGGGATGCTCTGAGGAAGATCAGAAGCTCCTCTGTGTGGTGAGCGGAGTCTCTGCTGACATTTCCTCTGTTGTTGCCTGGCACCGTTGAGTTTGGGTTGTTTAAACTGAAGAGATCGAGTATTTTCCTGTGGGATCACTAAGCAGGGATTAAGGAAGCAGGCAGCAAGTGACCACAGTTTAGATCTGTCTTGGGAATCTGGAAATGAGCTATGCCAGGCTTCTCAGGGTTCCTGAACATAGTAGGGGTGTCATTGCTCCTGTGTTTTCATCAATAAAGTAGGGAATATTAATGGGGTTTGACATGTATTGGTGTATCTCATTACAAAGATCACTAAATTGTAATTAGGCTTGAGAAAAAGAGATGCTGTGCAGCCATTGATCCCTCCAACTTAGCTGTACGTTTGTAGGAGATTTATTGGAGCGTGACACTGGACATACCCAGCTGTGACCAAAGTTTATCTGGCAAACAGCAAGTAGGAAGAACTGCAAAGGCTAAATTTGTGTTCAACAGAAAAACTACGAGCTGTGCAGTAAAGGTGTCATGTTCACATACTTTCCAGGATCAGTTTTCTTCCCGCTAAAACACATTTTAATTGAATCATGCCAGTAGTACTAATTAGGCTGTTTACAATTGTGTTAAACTTGGTGTGTTTCCAAAAAGTCAGGATCGACCTTTTGTGCAATCTGAGTGTTCTGTTATGATTAATCTTAAAAATTGGAGCTTGTTCTTGCAACCTCAGTGTAGACAAAATGGCCTTGGAGGAGCTGCTGCTGCCACTGACTGTTCAGAGTGTTTGGATTAAGGACAGGGCTGCAGGGCCTCCAAAATGTGTGTCAGAAAATTACTTTGGGGTGGTTGAGAACCAATTTAAATGTCAATTGTGCTGCGTGCAGCTGGCAACCAGTCCCTGATGGATCCGAACGGGAATCCTTAACAGCAAGTCAGTCAAAAATTCCAGCGGGTTGGAAATCCATCCAGCCTTCCAAACCTCTCGTCCTTGAGGTCTGGGTGAAACTTGTGAGTCTTGGAATGCTCTGTATCTGCTGCCCCCTGGGTGGGCTGTGTGATGTGGGATTGCTTCCTGCAAATGTCGTGGGATTGTCTGTCACGTGGAAGTGTTGCAGATTTATACTCTGGGTATTTTTACTGAAATTCCACATAAACTTTGTATTTATGACCATCTCGCTGTTAGTTTTCATTTCCTTGGTGTGTGGTTGGCTCATCTGTGGCAACAATTTGGCAACAATTTGGCAACAATTTGGCAACAATTTGGCAACAATTTGGCAACAATTTGGCAACAATTTGGCAACAATTTGGCAAC